TCCTGGCCCAGCGCGGGCCCGGGAACCTGGGAGCGCACGACTAAGGAAAAGGCGGGAACTCCGCTCCTTCCCTCGCGGGTCCCGCTCCGCACCGCCGCGGGAATTTCACCTTCCCCCAGGGGGACCACCCTGGTCGGCTGCGGTGGAAACGGAAAGTTGCGGTGAATCACGGCTTGCACAAGGTCGCGCTTGCCAATGGCAGCACCACGTCCCGCATCTGTTGTCATTCATTCATTTCACGAACACATTTTTTTTTCTGCCCCATCAGTGCCCTGAACTGTGCCAACCATTGGAAATCAACCTTTTTTTGTTGCTGACAATGGCGATCGAGATCCGCGGGCTCAAACCCCGTGCTCTTCCAGCGCTGAATCAGACCAGGAGATTGTCGTCCCTAGCCGCTGGGGGCAGTCTTGATACCCAGGGGGTTATAAGAGACAAAGCAAAATCAAATCATCTTCCTCTTCCTTTCCCCTAAAGCCCCGGTGTCTTCCTCCTCCTCCCTTTCCCCTGACCTGTCCCTATGCCTGGCTCCCTTTCCAACACCCAATCAAGACCAGTTCTTCCCGCAGCCCCGCCCAACTGGTCTGCCCTTGACCCAAGTCAACCCTCAGGCATAATGTTCTTGCCCTTGCACCACGTTAATCTGCACAGAAACCTTCACTAGCCCCCTGGACTGCTTAACCCCACGTTCACACCGACCAGCCTCTCCGAGGGAGAAACTGAGGCGGTCGACTGCTGTAAAGAATTAAATAACCTCGGAGACTTTGGCATGGAATAGAGGGCAGTGCGTTTGAGTGGTGTTAGGTGTAGGATAGACTTTCCGGGGCCCACGTGGCAGACTAGTGCCCTCTAGGGCTTTCTTCATAGGAATCTTTACTGGAGTCAATGGCGAGGTCTTCCAGGAGAGGCCTAGCGTCTGAGTGCGTTCAAACCACCCATCTTTCAAACCTCGTAACCATTTGTGCCACCTAACCAAACTGCCTACTCACAGCGACCCCACAGGACTGGGTGGACCTGCTGGCCAAGGTTTCGGAGGCAGCAAATTTGTATGTTCAGCTGGGGGTTCAAACTGCTGACCTTGCTGTGACTGGCTCAAGAGTAACCCATTACGCTACGTGTGCACCTTTGGTGTCACCAGGACTCCTTATTGTCCCTCTGCTTCCTTCCATACTAGCACGCAAGGACTACTGGAACCCAACCCAGCCTGCCTAAGATGCTCCACTGAACAGCTCCCTCCCATTCCCACTCTGCACCAGCGCTTGAGCTGAGCCACCTGCCTGGAGCATCACCCACCCCACCCCCTTCTCAAACACACTTTCCTCGTTCCTAAAGGTAAGCCTCTCTTGCGGGTCCATCTCCTCCTTTGAGTCTCCTGTGCACGTGAGAAATTACAGTCACGCTGCATTGGAAAGGACCCAAAAATTCTGCCTACAAGGGAAAATCTGCTAGCTGGCCCTTACACTGTTTTGCTGTTTTCTCAGAATTAAGATTTTAATTAAAACCAACATTACCTCCTCCCACAAGAGTTGGATTTGGCTCTGAGGAAACTGCTCATTAAGAGAGTGTGATCTTAGTGCTCCAGCCCGGGAGGGCGGTCACTTACTCCAACCCCTGAGCCAAAGGGCCCTTGGACAGGTGAGGGGAGGACACTGGAAAAATGAAGCCCCGGGCAATAAACCAGATGGACTCTTTATTGAATAGACAGCTTTAGATCATGGCTTTATAATTCATTGAACAAAACTTGTTAATCCCTTAGAGCTCCTTGATGTTCCACAAGGAAAAAAAAAGAGGTGCACGGGAATTCACTTGCTTCAAAGTTGTGGATGCACACGCAGTTAACCCTGAACCCTGCAAATGAGGCACTGCACCGTTAGGAACCTAGGCAAGTTTTGTTCCATAGTGCGAGAAACTGATGGGAAACGTGATCGCCCATGCTGCTTTATCCCTGGAGCAGGGCGCCTTCCCAAATCTTTGCAAAGAGGACGGGTCCAGATCAATGTCCTTTTGCTCACTCCCTCACTGGCTCCCCGGCTCTCTAAAGGAGACTGGAGGGAGCCCTGTCCCTAGGCTGCCTCACCGCATTGGAATGTCTGAGCTAACAGTGCTTCCAGCGGGTTCATTGCTCCTCTGAACAGCACTGGCCAGACTTTCTGGAGATTTTAATTCACTCCCCAACCTCGCCAACAGTTGCACACAAGGTGCCTGTTTTACACCCCGCGCTCCCTTCGGGGAAACCCGCAGACCATCTCAGGGGAACAATGGCTCCATTCAAGGCTTGCTCTGAAGTGCAGCACATAACCTCCACACGGTGGGTTTGCTGCCAGCCATTATCTGGAGGGGAAAAGACAGACAGATAAGAGCCTGGGGACTGGGGGAGCACTGGACAAGTGCCCTGGAAAATTCGTCTCAAAAAACCCCCACGTTATGCATCTTTGTATACCAGATCATTCTGCCTAGTCAAACAACAACTTTATTTAAACTCAATGCTGTACTTGAAGTTTCAGCACAAAGTGCACATCTCTTTTGAACTTGTTACAGAATGCTCACCACTAAGTAAAAAATGGATTTAAGTAAGTGATAAATGGGAGTCGGGGGAGCTAGAGAATTGAAGCCTCAAAGACATTTTAGGACCCGACACCATCTCTCTATTTTCTTCACCTCCTGCACCCCATGCTGTATTATTCAGATTGGGCACATGGGCGGGTGTGGGTGGGGAAGCAGGGGGCGGGGGGGCGGCTGGTCTCTGATTTCTTGGTTGGTGCTGCCAACTAGAGGCCCCGCATCCCCTCCTGCACGTATTACAGAAAAAAGATTGGCCTTCTGCCACACTCAACAAGCCAGCCATCAGTGAACCCATTTATAAACAGACCCTTAGGGTGGGAACTCAGCAGTCAGCACAGACACCACTGGCTAATGCCTCTATCCTCCCAAGAAATAGCAGCTAAATTGCCAAGCAGAGAAATTGGCCAAGAGGCAGCTAGGTAGCCTTGAAGGCCAAAGAAGTAAGGAGGAACCCAGCCTTTCGTTTTAGGAGTAGCCTTGTCCTCCAGTTCAAAGCCACGGCCTCAGGCTTACCAGTTGTCTGCAAATAGACTAGTCAGGTCACACACTGGGGAGCTGGGGTGGGGGGAACAAGCTTTTCAGCGTTATCTCAACTGTGAGGTTCGAAGTCCTAAAGCAGTTTGAGATTGGAGGGTGTAGGAGTGAGGGCTGCTAGTTAAAAGCAGTGGGTAGATCTACCTCTAGCTAAAGGTTGGTGGTTAGAAGTTGGGATGGGGGGAGTCTGGCGGGAACAGAACAAAGAAGCTTCAAAAGCGTGGAAAACCCATTATGTTTTATTTCCATGGACTTTTTGAAGCCCCCTGGTTTGTGAAACAGAGACTATCTATGTATGTCGAATGTTCTGTCTCAAGATAGCCAGTGCTAGGAGCACAGACGCAAGTGAGATTTACTCCTAAATACGAGTCCTTGTACGTTGCTTAGCTCTCTGTGCCTCCTTCTCCTTCCCTGTAAAATGGAGGTTGTGCCAACAATCTTCAAACGTTTCATAGAAAATGTATTGGGGGGGGGGGAGCGGATGGCCATGCATTAAAACAAGCTCATATTAACTTATTTTAAAGGAGCCCTGGCAACATTGGGTGCTAAGTGTTGGACCTGTAAGGTCACTGGTTCAAATCCACCAACTTCTCTGAGGAAGGAAGATGAGGCTGTTTGTTCCCATAAATTTCTACAGTCTCTGAAACGGTAGTGAGAAGCTTTCCTCTGTCCTAGAGGGTCCTTATGAGTCGGAATTGACTCAGATGCAGTGGGGCTTGACTAGTTATAACATTCTATCTGAACCGGCACTAGTTTGAGGGATTCAGAAGGATGAGACATCAATTTGAAAAGAAGTGCCTATCAGAACAACATAAATTTTGCTAAAATTGAAGCAAGGACAAACATCACATTTATGGTGACACTTGGGTGGAAGAATGGTGAAATCATTGATGTTTTATAAAAGGTTTATGAGGAGAGAGTCTCAAAGAAATCAACCGTTTAAATGGGTAGTTAGTTTAAAAAGAGGGGTAGATATGTTGAAGATGAAGCCCAAAGCTGTAGACCATACATGTAAATTTTCAAGGAAAAAAATAATCTTGCCCGGGCTCTAATCGAACTGACAACAGCAGAAACAACAGAACCCTATCGATCTCAAATGGTTCACTTTACCCAAATTTGACTGGAAAAAAAAAACGAAGTTGAACCAGCTTTCTGCTCGAAGGATACCCAAAGCGTTGCACCAGACCAGCTGCAGAAAAGTGTGATGCTGCTTACAATGGACATTTTAAGCAGGTGGTAGCAAGGTCCTGGCACATTTCTTGGAAGAATTGTAGCTAGAGGAGAAACATGGCTTACCCGGTACTATCCTGAGGACAAAGCACAATTAAAACAATGTCTGCCAAGAGGTGAAAGCAGTCCAGTCAAAGCAAAAGCAA